AGTTATACATGCAAATTGATACAGCAACAGCACCTGCACATTTTTGGTTGATGAGCCACTAAACTAGAGTACGTTCTTTGAATGTTTCCCATTACGTACAGCATCATGTCTGACGTCATTAGTCAGGCTCCTTCTGAATATTATAAAAGGAGTGAGGAGTAAACAGTAAACAATCATTACAAAGAGGATAATAATGCTCTCTCTTCTTCTTATACTAGCTATTGCTTGTCTCCCTCAGTTTATCAGTAGTTCTAATCTTGCTCTTACATTTGATGCTGCTAACAGTACCTGTACTGCAGCCTGTACTACCTGCAGTGATACCAGTAATACTGATACCAATCAATAAACACTAATGATGAACTATTGAATGAACTACTCAATTCTACCAGGAATAATGGCCAAGATATTCAAGAAATAAAACAGAAAATGGACAGTATCATTTCTTCTCTCTCTCATATCAAGGAGACTGCTACCTCTAATGCTGGAGCTATCAATGATATACTGCTACTAGTGGAAGACCTTATCATGTTACACAATGACTCATCTTCCTTCTCTCCTATCCCTACTTCTTGTCAAGAGATTAAGAACAAACAACCAAACAGTCCTTCTGGTGTATACCTACTGAAAACTGCTACCAATGGAACTCAAAGTGTTTACTGTAATATGGGAACATTGTGTGGATCAGGAGGAGGATGGACAAGACTAGCATATCTGGATATGTCTGATGCTACACAGAACTGTCCTTCTGGGTTTAGACTGTACCAGTCAGGAGGAGTTAGAGCTTGTGGTAAGACTAACAGTGGTGCTGGGTGTGTATCAGTTCAGTTCCCATCTAATGGTATCAGTTATTCTCAGATATGTGGTAGAGTAACAGGATATCAATATGGTCATCCTGATAGTATTGATGGAGTAGATGACATCAATTCTTATTATGTTGATGGTGTTAGTATCACTCGTGGGTCTCCTCGTCAACATGTCTGGTCATTCCTAGCAGAACGCTATCAGACAGACTGTCCATGTGCAAGTGGTAGTTCTAAATCAGTCCGTTCATTTATGGGTACCAATTGGTTCTGTGAGTCTGGTAATCCTAGCACTAGTAGTTATAGCAACATTCTCTACACATCTGATCCACTCTGGGATGGTCAAGGTTGTGGTGGTGCTGAAGGTTCTTGTTGTAATGTTCCTGGTATCCCATGGTTTCACAGAGACTATGGTAGCACTACCACTACTGACTATATTGAGTTGAGGGTCTGTGCTGATGGCAGTTTTGAAGACAGTCCTGTTAGTTATTATGAGATTTATGTTAAGCAGTGAAGTGAATGTGTGTGGAACAAATGTCCTATATACTGTGATGTGTAACCTTCTTTAATATTTTACTACTTGTCATATGATATTGTGTACTTACATACCTATTGGCTTTGTCAGTGGTAATTTTCTTCATTAAAAAAGTTGATCAAACTACATGTACATGTATTATTATTGTATCAAAGATTTTAAAATCTCTCTCTAAACTAGTGCACATGTACACATACCTTCATCTTGCTGTTCTTCAACTTGAGGCCTCACTATTCCTTCTTCCCTTTCGTGGTCCCCATGATGATCCACGTCTCCCGATAAAGCCACACCCCCAGCCTCTTTTCTATCAGAATGTGTTGGAGGAGAGGGAGAGGGAGGAGGAGTAGACTCCTCATCTTGGCGGCCATTTTGAGTGTCACGAGTAAAAGAGGTTTCTGTAACTGGTTCTTCTCTTGTTACTGGGATCTCTCTTTGTACTAAAAGGGGGAGAGGTTGCGGGACCCTACTATCAGTAGGAGAAACTGGTTCTTCCTTTCTAGGATAAATGAAAATAAAAATAATTATTATTATGTATCTTTATTCCTTTATTTTCTATTATTGAATCTATATATTATTATAATGAGGGTGTTTTAAAGTCATACTTTTCTTTGTTTGTCGTTTTCCTTCTTTTCTGACGTGCTCTCGATAAGGAGGCCTCGGCAAGCGAGGAAGGAGTCAAGCTAAGCTCTGCAACGGCCGCCATCTTGTTTTGTGGTTGTCCTAGCAACCTTTCAAAGGGCCCACTGCGCATGCGCAAAAGGCGGAGCTCGTAAGCAGAGATTTTCAGTATTTTCCCGTATATCTAGGTAATAAACAGAGACAAACAAAATGGCTCCTCAGTTGAAAGGACTGCTCTATCGTTCCATAAAGCGAGATTTAGCCCTGGGGTTCTTGATCTCTTTCTCCGCAGGTTCAGTCTGGTTGTTTGGAGTCTTTTTCCCGAGGAGGAAGAGATACGAGGACTTCTATAAAAACTATGACGCCAAAGCAGTCGCCGAGTCTATGAAAGCTTCTTGGGAAGAGTGAAGGTATAATGAAATACTGAATACTTAGAAAATGTAGAATTTAAAGTTTACAAAACGTGTTGGGTTGCCTTTGGAAAGGTTCTGCTGATTAAATTTTGTTCACATGCATGCCCCCCTGGGGGTTAAAATTTTGGTGAAATTTGCCTCCACTGATTTTTCATTTAGTTTTTTATTGAAATTTTTTATTTTAGGATTTGTGTAGTCTCTCACTGTCTCAAACTGAACTAGTTGCAAACTTTCAATGTACTTATAGCTTAATGACATTATCTAGTAGACTAGAGTATTTTATTATTAATAATTTATCATAATAATAATGATTGTGAAAATGTACAATTGAGAGCTGACTGGTGAGTTGTACTGTATGAATCATCTGTGTTGTTTCCTGGTGCTGACTGAGGCTGATAATGAAGACAGTTAACAAATTCTCTCCTAGCTATCTCTGATGAAACATTGCCCTGTAAACATAGTTCAGTGTCTAATCAGTTTTGATTGGAATCAGCACTCAACATAAGTACATGTACATCTATAAATGTGTAAGGACTAAATTACTACGATAGGACGTTTCACTCCCACAATGTGGGAGTGCATGAAGAAACACAATTAGATCTAGTCACTGCTTTGTAGCCCTTTCTGAATCCGGCAACAATGAATCTACTGGAGTCTCTGTTTATTCTAATTGCACTCTCCATTTTTGTATTTTTTACTTCAAGCAAGGATAATGATGAGAATACATTTAAAGGTAAATCATAATCAAATGAGTCTCTGTTTTCTATTTGTTTATTTATTTGAAAGGTGATATGGGTGACAAAGGAGATAAAGGTTACAAAGGAAATATAGGTGATATGGGTGACAAAGGAGATAAAGGTTACAATGGAAATAAAGGTGATATGGGTGACAAAGGGGATAAGGGAGACAAAGGAGATAAAGGTGATATTGGACTAGTAGAACCAACAGGTCCTAAGGCTAAAAGTGGAGGAGTAGTGTACACTCGTTGGGGAAGGAAGTCCTGTCGTACTGGAGCTGAACTGGTTTATGAAGGACTAGCTGCAGGTGGTTATTACATGAGTCTAGGAGGAGGAGCCAACCATGTCTGCTTGCCAGCAAAAGAGCCTCAAAATATGAAAAAACCTAAACCTTCTCGTCATTCTTGGATATATGGTACTGAATATCAAGATGTCAATGGTATATTTCCAGGGAAGCATAATCATAATGTTCCTTGTGCAGTATGTTATGCACCAAACAGGAGCACTAAACTGATGATTCCTTCTAGAACCAGCTGTCCTTCATCATGGACTATGGAATATAAAGGATACCTGATGACCAGTTATTATGATCACAAGAAAAATAGCTTACACGAATGTGTTGATGACAATCCTGTATCCATTGATACATATGGGAGTGGTGCTAATCATGGTGCCCTGTTCTACTTTATCCTCTCAACATGTATTGGTATTCCTTGTCCACCTTATGCTGCCAATGAAGTTGTTACTTGTGTTGTGTGTACTAGGTAATTTTTTGCTTTAGTTTAGCTATTTTTGAATTTTTAATTTTTCAAAAACGGTTGTTCAAACTGCAATGAACATAATCACAAATGCATGTTGCACCATAGATTGTATTTTGCAGCCTGCATCATCTCCTATATAAATCAATCATGATGATTGCTGATATAGATCCATACACATAGGCGTAGGAATGATTCAAAAGTTGGGGGCTCAACATTAAAAAGCACTGATGACTTAGCATGTGAACATGGGGGCTAAGCCCTTCTTGCTGCAAAGTTGGGGGGGCTTCAGCCCCCCAGCCCCCTCCCAGTCCTACGCCTATGATACAATGCTTCATTGTATGATTTATGCATGTAGTCATATCTGCTCCAGCACCACCCATTCACACACAGTCTATCTTAATTCATTTGATAGCGTCAGTAATAATGACAGGTTGAAATAAAAGTATCCACTCCATTTCACAGCCTGCGGTAAGATTATATTTCATTGAACTCTTAATTAACGAGACACCTACGGTGCATGGCCTCGCCCCTATAGCTGCTATGGTGCATGCCCGCACTGCAATAGCTGTTTGATTATCAGCATGAAGAGAGTCTGCTCAACACTAGCTTCCTGCAGTTGCACTTGCTCTTGAATACCTGCAGAAGTAGCAGCACTGCAGCACATACATGCAAGTAGCTCCAGCCCCTCCCATGCATGTAGATTGAAAGGTGTGGCATTCCATCATACTGGCATGATTGGCAGCAAGAAGACCATGTGAGAAAGAAGCTTCACTTTTTCTTTACTAATCAGCAATATATGATAAACTTGCTGACAAAAAAAGTTGCAGCTCCAGCCCCTCCCATGCATGTAGATTGAAA